CTCAACTTAACTAGACACCAAAACTTGGATTCTGGAATCTTCTGGGTTGTATACATGCAAGTTTTTCTTTTTATCACTATATACAGGTTGCACCCCCTTGGTGCATGTGAATATAATTAATACTTTATTTTACAAAGGATTTTTATTATGACATCACTGATAACCCCCTTCTGAGACGATTTCACATTGCTAATGTATTTTAAAAGCTCCTTATTATTTAAAGGTCAAGGTGTTATCATAGACTGATATTCACCAGAAGCTCAACCCATATGATATGCTTCAAGTGTTTACCACACCGAACCTTACACATCTACTTCATGTGCTTCAGCAGGGAGGAGACTCATTCTCACCTGTTTTTACATTATGCCACAGCATTTTTGGACAAAATTGGTTAGTTTGTTTGCTTTGAAATGTGTTACTCCACCTAATGTGGAGAGTTTTCTTTGTTCTTCTATTAAGGTTGATGGTGTGCAGACTGATGCAGAACCTTTCTGGCAAGGGGCATTATTTCCTGGTCTATGGTGTTTATGTCTATCTCGCAACTGCTGGATTTTTTAATGATTACCACACATCATTTTATAAGCTGTGGGAAAGGCTACTTTCTTGGCAATCAGATGGGCTAAAGCACATTGATACTATCATAACACTTGTCTATCATCACTTCATCAAAACTAAGAAGCTATTATAAATAGCTCATAGGATGGAATCACTTCGTATTTATTGTTATACTCGTTTTCATGATGTATTATCCTCTTTTATAAAAAAATCAATGAGTTCTAACTACCATAATCTCTCTATAAGTTGGGAACATGAGAATGAAAACGGTACATACAGTTCCCTAATTAGGTTCATTAATAGAATGAAATCAGGGTCTTTTCTTTAAGGTTTCTTTAAGAAAAAAGAGTTTCTTGTTTAGGCAACAAATCTTACAGTGCCTGAAATCAGGGACAATGAATTTCTAGAGACAACCGATGTAAGTAGAACCCATACAGACCCTTGAATAACTTATTCACTGAACATTTAATCTAATAGCTTAGTACACACTTCTACAGTAATCAAACAAAATAAAGCTCAAAGCATGCTGCTTCTGAAACTAAATATACTGATGCCAAGTTGATCAAAACTAGAAGTTATGGAGTAAAAGAAAGCAAATATGCAGATAAAAAAATGTTCTGGATTGAGCAAGGAATCATCATCAAGCGTTTATGAGTCTATAACAGCTTACCTGTACAATTTCGTTGATGAATTTCAAACCCCCAGGGCCAATAATTGAACCAGCAAGAAGATATCCTACAATAACCTATCACACATTCGAAAAAAAGACCTAAGCTATTGCATATCCCATGGATTTGAAGTCGCGACATTTGACATGCCATCCAATTAAACCATTTCAAAATAACAAATAAGGGCGTATAGATACAAACCGGTTGTCCCAAACATGAAAAAAGAATTCCCCCAATAGCAGCAGAAACAATGATGACCACCAAATCTGAAATCAATCTGCAGGAATGTCAAGTAACATATTAAACCATAAATAACCATCAATACATAAGAAGAAAACTGAAGAACTGTTTAAACCGTCGCCAAAGACAAAGTGATGGTTGCTAAAGAACAAAGGTCACGGTATCACCATCTGATCATGTAATGAGAACACAAAGACCTTCACAGATCTTGCATAATAGTCAGGAGTAAGAGTTAAAGGAATTGACCTCAAATCTACTTGAAGGATTGGATACTTGGATTTCTTGTTTGACATAACAAACACATTGTCCTACCATGAAGAGGAGAGTCAGTAATTACCACACAGGAACCAGAAGAAAGGCACAGAAGCTAGAAAAGGAGTCCCTCATAGAAAAATTTGCTATTTTAGCACACCTTTTTGTCAATTAAAGTTGCCATGTCATCAGATTCTTCACTTTCCAGAGAAAAAACATCTTGTAATTGGAACGATCTAGTGCCACTGAGAGAAAAAAAGAAGAATTTTGTGGAAGAAAATTGTTATTTTGGGTCACAGAACAAATATATCATAGATTACTCGGCTTTTAATACAATTAATGTTAGCAGATTCACATACTTTGTCTCCTGCGTATCATTTTTCTTGGCCTTTTCGTGAGTGATTTTAGCAACTGTCTCTAGTACTGCCTGAGATGCACGATAAGAATTTAAGTTTTAATAAATAACATAAAGGAACAACCATAAGAAAGAAACAAAAGGTCCACAAGGAAACAATTTTATGACAAGATAGTTGATTATAGGCACCAATGGCAAAAAGCAAACTGACGATAGATCTTATACCTTGTAAATAACATATATGTTGTAGTGAAAGGACCAATGCATGCAACTAAAGAAGATACAGCTACCAGCCATGTTAGGTAAAAAAAAAACTTTTGCTGTATCTCTGGTAAAATCACCAGCCACCATGGGCAATGGCAAGGTTTTATTCCTCTAAATTATCTTCAAAAAAATTTATAGCCTCATTCAGTAGAAAAACATGTCCTAAGCTGCTTCACGAAGAACAAATTTTGGGAAACCTACATGTCACTTCAAGCCAAAGCCCAAAAGACAATACTTTTTCAAGACAATAGAGGCTTTAAAAGAGTCAAACTTACTTGCTGATCGGCTACGGTGCTGTTAAAGCTGCTTCCATCAGATCCTAAAAAGATATAAACACAAATAGATATCAAGAAAGGCAAGCAAAGCACCATGGAACAAAAGTATATGAGACGCAGCAATAACTGCCATTCATTTGAAAACAAGCGAGCAAAAGATAGCAGGTCACTGAACTAAGATCTTTGATTAAGAAAAAGATTTCCACCCTATATATGTCTAGATAAAAAATTGATTCAAAAAGAAGTTTCAATTTTTACATCCTAATTATCACTTCATAAGATCATTTAACAAGCACACTGCATGATTCGATATTTAAGTCACTGAAATCAGAAGCATAACAAAAATTGCTCTCTATCTAATTGAACTGGAGAAGCTCTTCCATACTCATCTTTAGCAACCCTCAAATTCCTCCTTTTTTCCTCCAAGGGGTTATAGCTGTTCAACACTGTAGTTTTGTTGTTCTTTGAAGGTTAATTTCATTACTCCCAAAAAGTAAATTGATTGTAATAACAACCTGTCCAACTGAATGTTCAATGACTTCCTTCCACTCCCAACCTATTCCTCCTATAGCAATCACCTTGCTGTGAATGCTTCTTCAATGTGTTAAACAACTTTTACAATTACCTCGATAAAGCATATTAATGCATGGTAGCCTCTCACAACACTTCCTCTTACCAGCAACCTCTATTTTTTTTATTTTTCCTCTTACCCATATGTATTCTTCAATAAAATCCATTGGTCTTTTTCTTTTATTTTTCCGCTCAAACTCTTTTATGGTCAGAATCAACCATAACAAGGAATAACCACCTCCACATTTAACTGTTCTAAATAAAAACCTATTAGCCAACTACCAATCAGCGTTATAGATGGCATAAAATCAAACTTCGGTTAACAGTTAAAATCAATATATGAAGAAGTTCAAGTACTGAATTCACACCTAATATACAAACTTCACTGAAATTAAGTCCAATGTAACAGTTGATTAAGGCATAAACTTTACTTTTTTATGGAAAACTATCTAACATAAAGCATGCATCTACTTCTTTCCTCTTTTACTTTTCCTCCCTGAGTTCTCCAAGCACCCAAGCAGATTTTAGCATTCAACAAATAAACTGGAAATATGAAAATTCTATTTAAGGCTAACCTTCAGGCTGATCGTTTTCGGAGAACTCTTTCTCAAGGACCCGATCGAACATTTTGGCTATGCTTCCTTCTCCAGTTTCTGGTGCAGATGAATTCACGAGATTCCCGTAGAACCTTTCTCGGGTTTCCTTATCGGATCTTGCAGACAGGCATATCCTAGCAAGAATCAGAAACAGCACCAGGTAATGCGTGAAACCAAACACGCCATTTCTGACGAAGAAGATCGCCATTGATTGGTTAAACCTCCAGTCTCTTCCTCGCTCTCAATTGGAAACAGAATTGAACCGAAGAGAGAAATCCTGGAGAAATAATAACGAAGCAACGATGCGGGAATTTGAACGGGACTGATTTACCATCTAAACTCAGAAGTCCGGAGAAATTCGTAGCTGCGTTCTTAATTGGGAGGTTAACTGTCAAAGGCGGGATCAAATGCCTAGTATGGAATCCGCGTATTGCAATTGGAAGAGTCGCGCGAGTATAAAGTATCGGGGCGACTCGCCTTGTAAAAAATAAAAAATAATAATAATTAAAAAAAAAAAAAAAAAGAGAGAAAGAGAGACCTTACTGCTTACGAGGTCAAAAACCCTTTTTATTTTATATAATAAATTATTATATGATAATTTAATTAAATAATATTAAAATATTTTTATTGTATTAAGTTTTCTATATTTTCAACTATGATAAATATACTCTCATACCAAAAATGTATTATAAAAAGCATAATCATTTAATTTTAATTTCTTCCAAAATTAAAATAGTTAAGGATGCGTAATATTTATTTAATAACTAACAAATAAAATTACACATTCTTTTTGTTTTGTATTTAATTAGTATTCTCTCACACATATTAATTTTTTTTATTTAAGAAGAGTATAGTATACTATCTATATATATATTGTATATAATTTAATGTGAGTATAAATTATTTTCATGTTATGTATAACACATAAAAGAATATAAAAGAATAATTACTATACTTGAATAATAAGAAATAACTATAATGAATTTTAGAATAAATATTTTGTCATAAGGAGATGGACTTTTTGTTTTAGTTAATTTAGTTTTATTTTTATTATTTATGATGGAATTAATTTATAATGGAACTAACCAATTAATTTTAATTTAATTTTTCTTATATTATGGAATTATTTTTTATTTTTAAATAATACAAATACATAATATAATATATTGTATTAAAGAAGTATTTACAATTTGGGTGGGTCGTTATAATAGTACATCATTAGGTACGCAAGCACTTAAATCAAACATGAAGTCCACGTTCGATGGAAGCGGTGATGAACAATTTCCTCAGAGTCGTTAAGCTGACGCTGACAAACGTCGAAATTAATAACTACCAAAAACCTGCGCCGCTGCCTCTTACTCTCACTGGTTGGCAGTGTACCTCACGCGCTTCTCGCGACACCTCGCCGAGACGTTTGATTTTGGGCCCCCTGGAGCGAAAATAGAGGCCTGGTTTCGGGTTTGGGCTGCTACTACTGGATCAGTCCATGAAGCTCGAAAAGCTTGGGGCGGGAGAAATTTTGTGTCCGTACAAATGACGTGTCTCGCGTGACATCCACCCAGTACACGCATAAGATGCAGAGCGTGTGCTCTCCACAAGTTCATCACCCTACATTTTCCCATTCTCGTGGTATTTAAATCCTCATTTCAGCAAATAATTGATTTCAATCACAAACTGTAGAGATTTGTTAGAATAAGAGGAAAAGGTCTAGAGGAGGGAAAAGAGGGAGAGAGGATCATCTCAATGGCGTCGATTTTGAGTAATGTAGGTGCAGGGCTGTGTTACAGTCGGTCAGCGCCATGCGAGGGGTGGAAGCGAGGCCGTGGTTCTGTGGTGCCTAGGCGATTTGTGATGGTGAGAGCAGAGGGCGGCGGGTCTATTAATCCTGATATCAGGAAGAGTGAAGAGAAGGTGGTGGACTCTGTTGTGGTGACCGAGCTCGCTAAGCCTCTTACTCCTTATTGCAGGTTTGTTTTGTTCCTGTTTGATTCGTTGTCGCCATTTTTATGCGTAGAGGTCCTTCAGTTCCTGCATTGCGTTGGGAATATGTACAAAAACACACAATAAACATATGACTAGAAACAAACAAAAAAAGTGAAAAGCCATGGGAAGAAGAGAAAATGATTTTGTGTTGAGCCGCGGTAAATATGAAATTGAAGAAACGTTGCTTTGCGTATATTTACAATTTTGCTATGTTTTTGAAATTCTTCTGGTCTGTTCAAACTTATTCCTGCATTTGACGGCCTTCGGATAGAAGAGGACTTATAAATTTAAATTACACTTACTTGTTTTTGGAAATTCATTAATTCAATAGTTCTTCGAGGATTATGAATCGAATTTTTTTCTCCTATATTTCAATTTCTCTATTTCTGAAATTTTGATTGAAACTAACAGATTTGAAATTAGTGTAAATTTGAATTATAATTTTATTTTTGTTCACTTAATTTAAATGATTTAATTGAAACAAAAATTTCATTGAACTTAGTTTCTAGAAAACCGTATATGACCGGAGCTTAAACTCTCTGAGCAATCAAAGGATTTTAAGTCAATTCACACGGGTCATATATGGACTATTTGATTCCCTTCGTTTAGTTTTTACTTCATTAATTATTAAAATATCCTTGATATATTAAATTGAACCATAATTTTTTTGTTTCACTTCTATGTTGAATTTCTAATTTCAATTCCTACGATATGGGGGGTTGGTTAGAGGTTATAACATGATACATTTATATACGTGGTGCTCATGCATATGTATGTATAAATTAAAATTATTGTTTTATTTGTTTAACTAATAATAAAAATGTTATAATTAGGTTTTGAAATTTTTTCTGTTATAATTTAATTTTTAAATTTATAAAATTATTTAAAATGTATATTTGGAAATATATTATAAAAATTTTGATAGAAGAAATAGTATTCTTTATTTGTTTTCTACAAGCAAAATAATTCTAAAAAAGATGAAGTTTTTCTTACAAGTTATTAGGTCTCTTTGATCATCATCTTGTATCTAATCGGCTTTTGCATCATTACTCATTAATTTATAAGCTCAAACTAATCCGCTTTACGGAAATGTCCGATAAATTGATTCTTTGATTAGATTATATCATATTCAAGCGGCACACACTTGGTAAAATTATTTGGTATCACATATTTATAATATTTTTCATCTACTGGGTAACAATTGTCAGTATGCAAGTCCTGGCATACCCTAGCTAAACAAACTAAAGAATCTGGATTCTAATGATCCCTAGAATTTGTGGGGTATAGGTGTTGGAGGTCTGGGACATTTCCTCTCTGTGATGGAAGCCATGTGAAGCACAACAAAGCTACTGGGGATAACGTTGGACCTTTACTTTTGAAGAAGCAGTAGAAGTAATCTATCAGAAACCCTGATTATCTTTTCTATTTCATGTTGAATTTGCAAAATATACTGCAGTGCTTTAAACATTCATCATATTCATGTTCATGCATGCAATTCTTTTGGATTAAAACTCTTGGTCTCTAACCAAACAACTAAATGTTGGTGAGGATCACAAACTAAAATTATCAAAGGTCCACCACAGGCAATTAGTCTTAGCTATTGTGCATTTTTCTTCTGAGAATAGAATATGGATCTGTTTTATAGAATTTTATTTGGTTTGTGGGTTTGGAAATGAGTGAATCTATTATGGTAGTTATTCATAACTCCAATGTTTCTCGATTAGGGAAAGCATTATTCGCTTTCCATCAGTTTGGTTAAAAAAATTAAAAAACTGAATTAACTGACTATGACTGTGTAACCAACCAAATCTAACTGGCCATAATGCTAAAACCAAAACTGAACTAATTGATTAAGGTCCTCTATTTGGTTTCAGTAGTAAAAGAAATGAATTACAGATGAGAAGAACAGAGTAGTGTAGGAGATTTTGTATTTTTTAGTGGTTGCTGTGCTAGCTGAATCATCGGTGGAAGGAGGTGGAACACACAGAATGGCCAAGGAAACATTGTTTGATCTGGCCAAGGTGAAAACTAAAAGGAGAAGAAAAAGTGTGGAGAATGCCATCAGAGAAAAAGTAAAAATAAAAATTTAAAATTAAACCTGTGTACTGTGTTGTCTTCTTTTATTTTTGTAAAAATCAAACTAAATTCTACATATGTGTAGATATATCTAATTATTTTATATATAATACTAATAATATAGTGAGCTGGGCGTCCAGTAGTCGACCGGGCAGTGCCGGACACCCGGGCCAGACACCACCCGGCCCCTTTTAGTTAATTAATTATATACAATATTGCATAAAATATACTTTTGTTATACATAATCTTTTATTAATTATATATAAAAAATTATATATTATATTAAAAATTAAATTTGATTTTCGGTCAGTTTTAGTTTTCCGAAAACCAAACTGGTTGAGAGCAGGTTATTCGGTTTTTAACTGGTTTAATTGTTTAATTAAATTTTCTAGTTTTTTCAATTCGTTTTAGTCGATTTGTTCTCCTCTAATCTTAATCTTTGAAAGTTAGATAATGCTCATTTATGCAGTAGTTATATTGTCCTTATCGTTTATGAAAGACAATATGTTAATTAAACGTTAAAAAACTAGTATTTATTTATGCGAGTATATATACTCAAGGAATATTTTGTATGTTCTATTCCTTTCTAGATAAAACCAAAAAAATTAAGTTCTAATTCATTTTGTTTTACAAAACAATGCCCATGTCTTAGATCACATGTTTTCTCTTGCATTCTGCAGAAATTGTTGTCTAAAATTATGCATGACTAATTAGGTGATATTTGAAATGAATCAAATATATATATATATATAATTTGTTTAGATTCATGCTTAGTTTAATTAACAGAGTGAAATTTTATATATTCTACTTTCATTGTTTCAAACACAATCTAAATATATACTACCTTCATATTAAAGCACCTGTATCATATCAAAGAAAAAAAAAATAAAAGAATTTAGAAACAAGCACGCTAGGCAGTCTAATTATTGATAATTCAAAGTATGGAACGAGAGGTGTATCTTATCGCAGAAAAAATAAAACAGTTTAGAAACAAGCACCATATGCTAGGCACTTTCGTTATTGATAACTTGAACCATGGAATGAAAAGATTTTTGTTCTTTTCATCTGCAACAGTAGAACCTCTTGTATTTTATTGAGCCATAATGCAAATAAGATGGACAAGCTCTGTTTGCTAGCTGGGCAAGTCATGTTCTTCGTATAGAATGTTTTCTGTTGTTGAAACAAACCCATGTTATTAGTCTCTTTAGTTTGGAGGTAATCACCCATGAAATTTAAGATTTTATTCTCTTGAATTTAGTCGCAAAAATTTATGTGGTGAATTCTCTAATTATAGTAGATGGTCTGAATTTTACTGTACTGTGATGGTGATATATATCATCAGTAAAGTTCAGCCAAAAATATTTTACAGCTAAAGAAAAAAGAAGAAAAACCCATGTTGTTCTTAACCGGGTAAGAACTGTTTGACATTTAAGTACACATGATTGGAGTTCCCTTTTTAAGTAGCAGAAATTTGATTACGATGTATAAGATCTTTGCCATACATTTCCCTCCATGAATCTTAAATTTTATCGGTCATTTTATCTTGCTCACTATCCACTTTTTAGGTCATGTTTGTATGCGATAAATAGAAATTAAGCGAATTTCGTAGGCTCTTTATAACCTAACCGTGATCATTATTTCTGGCTACAATTTATAATTTATTGAATTTAATTTATCCAATTATATTTTCAATAAGAAAAAAGAAGTGAAATTCTTTATATTTCCAAAACTATTTACTCCTTTTATCACAATTGTTATTTAAATTTCAATAGATAGTGGAAAGTTATATAGTTTGTGGCTTCACATTCGACGTTGTTAAAAATGCTTATTTTCATATTACATATCGGTTGTTAAAATTTACCATATAATATAACTATTACATAATTATTAATATTTATTTTTTAATTAATAATTAATAATATATATTTTCGTAGAACTTACTCGAGATACCATTGTTTTAAGCTTATGAAACAGTAAATAATTCATATTAAAAAATTACTGTGTGCATTTGGCATGTATGAAGTAATAGCTGCTATTGGATTTATATAATGTTTTGATTTTACTTGAATTCTCTTTATATTTTGTCGTGAAAGGTAAATGCTTCTGATTCTCATTGATTTCTATGCTTCCTTCCACCAATTAACAAACTTGAAAGGCACATAACTTGACATTAAAACGAACAAACATAATAGACAAGTGATGTTGCCAATAGATGAGCAATTTAACAATATCATGGCGCTACTGCCATTTGGTAGCTGCCTATGCTCAAAACTTTAAGAACTTCCATCTTTATTGCATTTCTTTATACTGAGTTTTATATTATCTCCATCCAGTTAGGTGCTTTAATTTATGTTCATATATTTCTTAAATATTATTATTTTTTAATTTATTGTATTTTTGGACTAGAACTTTAGTGATTGTAGAAATTTATTATTTTTAAATAATCATAAATAATATGAAACTATAAGTATAAATAAGATTACATTATTGATATTAATATTTTTTTCATTACAGTTAATTAAATAAAAATAATCTTTATCCTTTATTTAAATTACTGTTACAGTTGAAAACAATTGCGGTCACAAAGAACAAGAATAATCTCTAATGGAATCTTTTTTTTACCTCTCTCTCTCTTTTTAAATTATTAAATTATAAAATGGCATAATTAGATACCAAACACAAGCACATCTTTTTGGGTAGAATGAGTAAAGCAAATTATATGGCAAAAGCCGTAGCGATCATGCATATTCCATTCAAAAACTTTAAGAAAAGGTTAGAACATGTTATAATATACATATACACACACACAGCAGATGCATTTATTAGCATTAACGTTATTTGCTGACCCCACCGTGCCTAATCCCAAAACTAATTCCATGGGTTTGGAATTTTATCAATTAAAGTTACCGTCTAAACTAATAGTATATTTGGAGGGAAATTGTGTGCACAAGCAAACTTGTCAACAAGTCCATCAACAATAAGTGAAGAGTTAAAGAACATGCTCCTTATAGGACATAAATTCATTTATGTGATCTGACAACTAAATTCATTTGTCTTCTGAAAATAATTAATAGTTACACTCTTGTATTTCATGTATCTTAGTTGGGCTAAGCAAACTATAAATCATTAACTTAATTTAATTACAGGAAATTAATATAGGTATACATCCAATGTTAGATCGTCCCTTAATTTCCTCCCAAGTCGCTACTTCCAAGACCCAATGAAAAACTACACACCCAAGATTATTCAATTATGTTTTTTTTTAAATACAAATAATATATATATATATATATATAGTGTGATATGGAGAGATCATTACTTCCTCAAAGGTGATGCAATAATAATTTTATTGAAATAATAGTTTACATTTAATAAAACTGTGATTATACACATCCTTGTTAATTCGTTCTATTGTAATGTCATCACCACCTGTGCACTAAAAATTGGTGAAAGTAAAAAATAAGAAGCTATTATTAACAAGATCAACTTAGACAATTTTTTAGAATTCAAAATTTCATCGCACGTAATATTTTAAATAACTCAATTTTACAGTTTCCAAAAATTCAAGGACCATTTTTGGACTCTTGAGCCATTGACATCCCATTTACTAATTTTCCCCGGAGTCCAATAAAATAAAATGGGGGAAACGCCTAATCTTGTACGGGTGAAGGAGAGATGAGAGACAAAGAGGGGATCAAAATTTTCAGTACAAGGGCAACGTTTTGTACTGTTGTACAGAGACAGTTCCATATTAATTGTCTTGTCGGTGGATCAAAATTTATAGTTTTCCATAATAATCTATGGTTTCCGAATCATCAAGTTTCCTTAAAGTTTTTGATTCTAGTGCAACGATCACAAAATCCACATACCGTGTTTCTTTCAATCTCCTTTAATTTGTTTATATATCTATTTACTATAATATACGCATGGGTACTTTTTTTTTTTTTACTGTATTTATTCTGAAATGGGTGTCCAAGAAAGTTAAATTGATAAAAATTACTGAAAACCGTATAAATATATTTGAAATTTTTTAAAAAATCTTTGTTACATGACTTTAAATTTGTTTATAAATTGAAAAAAAAAATGTCTTACGTAATATATTAGCATAGTGTACAAAAAATTATAAAATTTATAAATAAATTAAGTATTTTTTACTCGTCTACAATAAGAAATTTAAAAATTAATATTTTTTAAATTTATTAATAAAAAAACTACTATTAATGTTATATGTCGGATATATAAGAGATCGAATAGTATGATAATAATTACATACGGGACATATGTAAGGTGAAAAAAGCATTGGGTATGGAGCAATTTTTACAATAGCCCTACATAAATAAATTAATAACTGTTTCATATAACAATATATATAATATAGTTTTGCATATATATAAATCTTGTATTTTATTAATTCTTTTTGGATCGTAAAAAATCAAAATGAAGTATAGTTTGATTTGACCATAGATTAGCACATAGGCCAATAATTCCTCAAAATTTTCAGCCAAACCAATAAGGCATTAGCAATTGTGCATACCAAAACACTAAACATGTGCAGAGGTCATAATTCATATTCAATCAATTTTAAAGCTGTTCAACTTAAAAAAGAAAAAGAAAAGAATAGCTAGCTATATATATATATATTTATATATATACAACATATCCCTCCAATATTAGTCTGCTTCAACCGCTGTTATAAAAATTACCTGGGTAAAAAAGGTAATTTTTTTTTGTCTTATCATATGAAAAATTACCCAGTCATTTTGAGAAGGGAAATTATTTATTAATGAATTATTCCCTGAAAATTATTTTTGAAAATATTGAATTTCTACTATTTTTACAAACAAGAAGAAACAAATAATTATGTCGGCAATTTTTTAATGCGGTCAAGTTATCAGGGCCTGTTTGTGGGACCCTCGGGCCAAAATGGTTACCAGCTTCCTCTAACCCCACAGCTCGGCGCCGCACACAATAAAACGACTTCGTTTTGTAGTTTCACATTGTTACCAAGGGGAAACTAATTCGGGTCCTATGATGTGTACACGTGGCGTGATCACGTCATTGGGTCAACTTTCCAAACTTGACTTTCCGCGCGTGATTAGGTTGATGTCCCGCTAAACTCCAGATTGTTCGCCTGTCATCTATTGTCGTACATAATTGCGGTGAACAATTATCTTTTAAAATAATTAATTTTAATACGTAATTATTTTGAATAATAATTTTTTATATTTTTTTTAAAAAAGGAAATTAAATATAATCATTTAAAATTATTTTATTTTGCCTCTTCGATGTAATATAGAAATTATTTTTTAAAATAGAATAAAAATATTATTTTTAAAAAATTATTATAAATTTATTTCTCAATTTTTTATTGAATTTAAGAACTACTATATTAGTAGGATAAGATATGAACAAAAAAACTTATATAATTAATTAAAAATAAATAAAATTATTAATAATGATTGATTTTTTATTTCTTAAATTATGAAAAAAAAACTTGCCATAATCCTTAACAGAGTAATTAATTATATAGTAAAACTAGAAATTTATTAAATAAAAATTTATAATATCGTAATTAGCATATTAGAAAATCTACGATTATGCTAGATAATCAATATAATAATATTAATTAGAAAACAATTAATTTGAGGACTTTGTACATTTTATTTTTTATTTTCGGTATTATTTTCCTTTATATAATTCATTGCATTTCCCAATAAGGAAAACGGCCGAACCGGAAACTATATCAAATCCGTCCGTTCATAGTAAGCTTCCGTTCAATTTGCCAGATAGTAAATAGCACGTCAGCGGGAAGGATTACTGCCACGTGTCAATTAAGTAAAGGGCAAAAATCGTCTGTCGGTTGCCAATGTATCCGGTTAAGCCACCGGACACGTGCCGTTTCGTCACGCCATCACCGCTCGAATCCCTATAAATTGCACAAAATTAAAACGCCGCTTTCCGTCGCACTCTCTTTTTCTTTCTCACCCACCATCTGTCTTTCACAAGCACAGCACCACCGGTTCACCGGCCACCGGCCACCTCCGCTGCGGCCGCCATTTCCGGCCATTTTCTAGCTTGAAACCTCTCTAGTCTGATAAAACCAGTGAAACCTGATGCTTCCCGTCTCCAACTCCGTCTCCCCTGAACCTTATGAAAAGCCTAAAACCCTCGAGATAATCGTGCGGAAGAACTCGTTTAACTCGCTCAACTCGGTCATCCAATCACGCGGATGGCTTCTCCTGACTATCCTCACTATTCAATTCATTCTCCTTATGACTCTTCGGTCATTCCCCTTCCCCCGCCGTCACGCCCAGTTCACTTCTTCCTCCTCCCCTGTTCTCTACCTTGCTCTCCGTAATAATTTATCACGAGCCGCAAACGGCGTCTCCTCTGCAATCCCTCTCCAGCCTGATGATGAATGTGGTTCGGGCCGGGTCTTTGTATACAACTTGCCCAAGACCTTCAATACTGAGATTTTAGAGCAGTGTGACAATCTCAACCCATGGAGCTCCCGGTGCAATGCTCTGGCCAACGACGGGTTTGGGAACGAAGCGACGGGGCTGAAAGGTATCGTGCCTGATAATTTGGTTTCCTCTTGGTACTGGACTGATCAATTTGTTTCGGAGATTATCTTCCACAATCGGATTCTCAATCACAAATGCAGAACCATGGAGGCGGAATCTGCTACGGCGTTCTACATTCCGTTTTACGCTGGGCTAGCGGTGGGAAAGTATCTGTGGCACAATTACACACACGATGACCGGGATAAGCATTGTCAGATGATGCTGAGGTGGGTTCGTGATCAGCCGTATTGGAATAGATCCAACGGCTGGGATCACTTCATCACGATGGGGAGGATCACATGGGATTTCCGAAGGTCGAACGCCAGGGACTGGGGGTCGAGCTGCATCTACATGCCCGGCATGAGAAACATCACCCGCCTGTTAATTGAGCGAAACCCGTGGGATTACTTCGACGTCGGCGTGCCCTACCCGACCGGATTCCACCCGAGATCCGACTCCGACGTCGTACAGTGGCAGAAATTCGTCCGCCATCGCCAACGCACGAAGCTCTTCTGCTTCGCCGGCGCCACACGCGGCAAAATCAAGAACGATTTCAGAGGGCTCCTGCTGGATCACTGCAGGAAGGAATCGGATTATTGTCAGGTCGTGAACTGTGGCGGGACCCGGTGCTCCAACGGTACATCCGCTATAATCGAAACGTTTCTGGACTCGGATTTCTGTTTGCAGCCAAGAGGCGATAGTTTCACCCGCCGATCAATCTTTGATTGCATGGTAGCCGGTTCGATTCCAGTGTTTTTCTGGCACCGGACGGCGTATTTACAGTACCAGTGGTTCCTACCGAGTGAACCCGAGAGCTACTCAGTGTTCATACACCGCAATGAGGTTAAAAACGGAACTTCCATTAGAGAAGTTCTGAAAAAGTACAGTAAAGACGAAGTGAGGAAGATGAGGGAGAAGGTGATCGAGTATATACCCAAGTTGGTTTACGCAAGATCAGAGAATGGGTTGGGGCACATAAAAGATGCATTTGATGTCGCCATGGATGGTGTGTTGAGGAGATTCAAGGAGCACGAGGATGAGAACTGGTACAAGTGGAAATGAAAGTTTTTCTAAAAGAATTTAACAGAGAACGATACAGAAGGAGTGTGTATTGTATAGCAGAGATTCTAAGAAGCAGGTATCACTACAATTTTTCATTTTCTCTTGGCTTTTACTTTTTTTTAGAACATGAAAATAGGATCTGGGTATTTTTTTTTTTTTCCTGTAATTTTCTACGTTTCACATGTATTAATTGCAAAATTATTTAATTAGTTGCAGATTTTCTTTGATCTGCAAATGCAAAACGATGGGTCTTAGGAGGATAATGTGTTACAGACATCAAAAAATAAATGGGTGTATTATATTATTCACTATAAATTACTTTTTGAGAAGCCAATATCCTACCACGTATTTATTCTTCTGTTGTATCGGCAAATTACATTGTATATTTTTATATGGCAGAGAGTTTATAGGCACCCATAGACCCACTTGTCTGGTCAGGACTGGGGACTGAGGACCCATCGACTCGCTCTGTTAATTCATTCGTTCTCTTCTGGTCCCAAAAGACCTGTTTGGTTGTTTCCTAATTTTTACGTGGGTAGGTTTTTCAAGACGACAGTAGGAAACGGATAAACTCTCTTCCCATCTGTGTAATTTTATGTTCTTTCTTGTTTAGAAAGTTGTTTGGCATATAATTAATGCATTTCTATTTAAATTAAATTGATTGTCTTATTTAGCCTAAAGTTTTGAGTATATAAAACAAAAAAATTGTGGGTAAAATTAAAATAAGAGTACTTTAAAATATGATTTTAATTAAAATATATATTAGGAATATATCCTTAAGACACGATAAGGTTGGTAGGAGGAAATGCAGACACTTCGATTCCTACTGTAGAGTAGTCGTTCATGTTGGCGAACTGGAAAAAGACAAAAACACCTTCGAACCTAATTTAATAAAATTATTTTTAATGTTTTTTTTTTACTATAAAGTATTTTAATGTTTAAAAACGATATAAATATATACTGCAACATAATAAGAAGTCGGGACAAATTCAAATCATTTGCGATATACTTTTTTTTGTTCTGTCAGCAAATTCTTGTTGGACTTTATATTATAAAGAGCTGTTTAGTCTACAGCCCAGAAAAATAATAAATTTATTTTCAATGGAATCATTGTATTGCATATCATGGTGCTTTGTACCTGAAGAAATTTCAATTATTTAAAATAATGTTTAGATATTTCGTGTAAAATACTATTGATTTCTGATTTTTAATTCTAAATATATGGGATGCATGTTTTGTTAATACTATAAATTAATAAATGCATATTTTATTAATTTATTTACAAAATTACTTTGCTTTATCTAAACATGCGGGTATTTATATTTAAATAATAGTTATTTATATATATATATATTTTTTTTTTAATTCGAGACTTTGATTCTTAGTCTATGTAGTGGACTAAAGTCAAATTATTTAAATATATAAAATTAAAAAAATTAGAGCGGCAATCATGACTAATTTTTTTATACGAGTAATTTACTAGTTATTATTTATAGTTAAAGCGTCGTGTACTTAAAAAAAATTTAGACAGTCAATGTTGTTTTTACGAAGAATAAATTTTTTCTTTTTTTCCGTACAAGAAGAGTAAAAAATTAAAAGAAAAAACGAATAACAAATTTAAAACGCATAAAAAGACACACAACACAAAATTGCATTAATCGGTGTTGTTTCACGTTGGCTGTTTGAACATGTTGAAAAAGGTATAAACCAAAATTAAGTAAATAACATGACCATTTCTCTATACCTACCACCATTGAGGGTGACTCAATGGTCCGTCCAAAATTTATTTTCTAAATCTTGTTAAATGTGACTTGTAATTCAAGAAAATATAATACCATAAACTATATATATATATTTAACTAATATATGTACATTATTATTTTAGAATATATAAATTATCAAATTCGGTTTTCAATATTGACATTTCTTATAATTTCATTCATAATCTTTTTTTTTTTTTAATTATCAAATGCTCATCCCGTATTATTATCAAATTGCAGCCTAATCTAATTTATGGGCCTTAATAATTCAACTCGGCCCATTATTTATCACGTCGTATGCCTGAAAAGTCCGAATTGCCCTTCAATAAAAAATCTTCTCACTCCGTTGACTTTTTGGCCTGTCATCACCACCGATTCCATCGCGCTCCAGCCAGAAATTGCCGCTCACTTGCCTCCGCACCCCCTTACATTTTCCCTTTTCTTCCTCTCCCAAGTTCCTCACTGAAAGAGAAAAGGGAAACATGGTTAGCAAAGCGGCGTCGTTTTTCCTCTACTTCACCTTCGCCTCGTTCCTCTCTCCAGCTAAATCCACCACACTCGAGCCTCAAGCTCTCGATTCCTTTAATGTCAGCTACATCCAGGTTTGACTGATTTCTCTTACCAAAAAATCATCGTCTTCGTCTTCCTTTTTTAAACTGCAAATTAAACCTCCTCTGTTCTTTTTTTCTTCATTTTCTCTACTTGAGAGAAGAATCTAGGGCTTTGTTCTTACACGGTGATAATCACAACGAGCTGCTCCTCCCCCCGATACACACGAGACCAGATTAGTCTAGCATTCGGCGACGCTTATGGCAATCAGGTATTATGTAATTAACAAGTTTCCTGATTAACACAATAAATCTTGCTTAAATTGATTTAACAATCAAGTATTTGCTGAATCAGATTTACGTGCCGAGGCTAGACAATCCATCGTCTAGGGCATTCGAGGGATGCTCTTCTGATACGTTTCACCTAAGAGGGCCCTGCGCCTATCAAATCTGCTATGTGTATTTGTACAGATCGGGTCCCGACGGTTGGATGCCCGGGACGGTGAAGATCTACAGCTATAATTCCAGGGCGGTCACTTTCAATTACAACCGGTTTCTTCCTGGTGATATTTGGTACGGATTCAATTACTGCAATGCGGCGTCGTTTTCTCAGCGTAAGGAAATATCTCGAACATGGTTCGTACTTCTGGTTTTGGGTTCGATTCTCTGTGCTCTCTCGTGAATTGTAAGATTATCTTTGTTTGTCGGCATCCATTGTTTGCAGCAGTGGTTTTCTTAAGTCTCTTGGTAAATAAGAACACGGTAGATCTTGTACCCTATAATAATTAAGTTACTATATAAGATGTGTCTCGTTTAGAAGATAAAATGATTTATCAATATGTGGTGAAATACAACTAATGTGATATAAAATACATATATAAGATAGAGTTAGAGAATCTAACTGGCCAACAAGAACTTCTAAATTGCATGGGTACATGCAAGTAATCAACCACTAAATCTTCAATCAACTGTATATTAGAACTTACATAGTGCAATTCAAACTGGATAAAACATTAACCATATCAATGTTATGAGTAGCGGTGTGCATTGTCCAGTTTGAATTGGACAGGCTTGTTTAGTTTGTACTAAAAAATGTTTGAACCAGTTCTTAGTCCAGGAGAACATAGACTGATAAAACCAATTTGTTTTGATATAATCTTGGGTTTGACTAATTAAATTTTTGGATTACACTGATTCTTGAATGAGACGGTCTTCGGTTCAATTTTTTGTAATGTTTTGGTTTTGGTTTAATTTGCTCTAGTCTCGTATTGTTGCACACCTCTACTTGCGAGGTCATTTGTGTGACACGATTTTGAGGTTCAGCATGAAAAAATAATGATTTAATTTTATTTAAATTAGTACGTGACTTATTTTTGCGTCAAAATAGTCATTATAATTTTTTAAAAATAGATTTAGTTCATCCCTTAACAAAAACAAATATTGATAATTTATAATATCATTTATTATATTTATTGAGAGATGACACATTTTTAGTGATGTGAGTTGTTAATTGAATGTCACGTAATAGTTAACATGACGTTCTTTTTATTTTGAACTAGTATGAACCGGTTCAAATGAAAAGAAAAAGAAAATCTTTGTGGTTGCATTCTTTTTCTCCTTCCTCTTCCCACACATTTTAAGTGGCAACAAGCAATGGGGATTGTATAGTGGGTATCAAGGGGAGCTTACTCACACATTTTGCACATCTCTTGGCATGATGCTCGCACACTAACCTACAATTAGTGATGGAATCCTCTTTTGGCAAATGCATCACTTAACCATTTGAATTAATATATCTTTTTGTCCAAAAGCCTTGTTTCCTCCATTCTCATTTATAAGTGCATTCATAGGCGCATGCCTATAGTATTTGATTATCGAACTCAACGACCCTTTAAGTTTTTGAGAAGATCTTCTCAACCATCATGGGTTGGTTTTGGATCAATATATTACAAGTCATTCAAATCTCTGTCTCTCGATTTATCACATAGAGAGTGAGAGAGATGAAGGAGAGGAAGAGAGAAATAAGGGATTGGAATGGGTTTGATTCATACTGAATTAGATTTTTTTAATCATAAATTTATTTAAATTATTTTATATCTATATTTTTATTTATCACGTGACATTTGATATAATATTCAGCTAATATTCGAATAAAAAAATATCATGTATTAATAAATATAATATGTAACATGTAACATTTTATTAATAATGTTAGCTTATATAAAGAAGATGGATTAAATCATTTTTTTTTAAAGAAAAATATAAAGTAATTTGATTAATAAATATGACGAAAATGAATTTTAATAAATATAAATAATATAAAACTAACTCATTATTTTTTTACCTATAAGTATATAATTATTATAAATTCATCGAACTTGTAAAAATTAAAAAAAAATAATGAAGAACTATTAAAATATATTGATTAATTAACAAATGAAAGTATATAAATAGAAAAATTAATAAATAAAAAAAACAAATATATGAAAGACAATTCAATAAAGTTTAATATGAAAATGTTAGTAAAAGAATAAAAGATAAAATTAATTCAATTGAATTTTATAGCTTATTTTTTCAGATATAACCTGCCAATTTATTTATGTAAAAAAAAAAAACATCAAAATAACTTGATGTAGGTTTCGTCACGTGAAAATATCTCCAGCAGTGTTCGTTCTTTTTTTCGGACTAACCGTTGATTGAGGTTTCTAATCTAATGGTGAGTATCCAAATTAAATAGGGTTTCGTCATCCAACGGCCCAAATTCCCTCCACCGCTAAGCTATTTAACCGCAAAACCCTAACACTATTGCTCTCTCTTTCGCTCCTGCTTCTGCAGCTCATCGCTATATCCTTGAAAAGCAGGAGAAACAGGATTAGCATCTCGGTATCTCTGTAAACTTTGTTCCACCTCGTAATAGAATGCCTTTACTACCTGTAGCTGATACCAAAGAGAAGAAGATGAAGAAGAAGATAGCTCTCGAGACTACGGACAAAAAGCAGAACAAGAAAGATTCGGAACTCGAAGTTCCCGAGTCTGACGATGAAACTTACTCGGAGAAGAAGAAGAGCAATAAGAAAGAGAGAGAGAAGAAGAAACGAAGAGCATCGGAGATCCAACAAGAAGAGGAAGAGGAGAATAGCGAGACTAGCTCAGAGCTAGTCGAGCCGGTGAATTTGAAGGAGAGGAAGAAAAAGAAGGCGAAACTGGAGGAGCAAGAGGAGGAAACGAAGAGCGAGAACCCTAATGCGATCACGAAGTTTCGAGTATCGGAAACCGTGAGGGAGAAGCTTAAGGAGAAGGGAATTGAATCATTGTTTCCTATTCAGGCTATGACGTTTGATATGATTCTCGATGGCTCTGATTTGGTTGGCCGTGCGCGCACTGGTCAGGTAAGATTTCTCTGCTATTGATTTTGATAATTCACTTATGCTGGTTTCCTTCAAAAAGATTTTTTGTTCAAGTATGTTTTGATTATGTCTCATTTAAGTAGTCTTTTTTTGTTTAGTTAACTACAATAGTTCATATAAAAAACAGCATAAGCATTTAAGTGAACGAATTATCTGTTTTATACTATTGATAGTTTTGAATTTGAACATCAATTGAATGGAAAATTGCTCTAAGGACTGAGTTGATCGCATTTATTTAACTTAACCAATAATATCTCTTTTGATGACAGTTTTGCATTCTGAACCTCTGCTAATATTTGTTTTCTTGCAGGGAAAAACACTGGCCTTTGTGCTGCCAATTTTGGAGTCTCTCATAAATGGTCCTGCCAAGTCATCGAGGAAGACTGGATATGGCCGTGCACCAAGTGTTTTGGTACTCTTACCCACCAGGGAGTTAGCTAAGCAGGTATAGAAAAAATTAAATATTTTGCTGGAGATTATGCCTTTCGCTATAGTATTTGTTTGATGGTATATCTTTCTTCGTTTTTTCAGGTGTTTGCTGACTTTGAAGTTTATGGTGGGGTGTTAGGTTTGGCATCATGTTGTTTGTATGGAGGTGCTCCTTATCAAGCTCAGGAGATGAAACTAAAGAGGGGGGTCGACATAGTAGTTGGCACACCTGGCCGCATAAAGGTGGTTCTATATTCTTATGTTGTAGAATATTATAAAACTTTAAAGCCCTGCTTTGTGTTTACGTAGTGTGATTTTTAATTGCTATAGGATCACATAGAGAGGAACAACATTGACTTGAGGTCATTAAAGTTTCGGGTTCTTGATGAGGCAGATGAAATGCTGAGAATGGGATTTGTGGAGGATGTTGAACTTATATTAGGTATTTTTTTTTTGTTTGCACTAGTTAATCTTTCTTCCTGGTACAATCTTAGTAGAGTAACTAATAATGTTTGTTACATGGAGTGCTATGTTATATAGTTGGACTGTTGTCATTGTGAATTAGATTGTGAAGTAGAATAACTGGCAACATATGTGTATATATACATGTCTATATGTATCTAATTCACACTACCTATCACGTATTGCTTGGATAGTGATTTCTGTTATAAATCTTCTATTCAATTTCATTCTCTATATCTTTTTCGGTTTTCACATGGGATTGTTAATTCTTCGTTCGCTGTGATTTGCAGGAAAAGTAGAAGATGTAAGTAAAGTTCAGACACTCCTATTCAGTGCTACCTTACCACCCTGGGTGAAGGAGGTATGTCTTTTTTAAGATGTATTAGATTGTAATAATTCCTGGATTAAGCTCTTTCTTGTTTGGTATTCAGTTCCTTAACTCATCTGACTGGAACTCATGTCACTTTTCCAGATTGCTTCTAGGTTTCTTAAATCAGATAAGAAAACCATTGATCTTGTTGGTAATGAGAAAATGAAGGCTAGTACTAATGTTAGGCATATTGTTCTTCCTTGTTCCAAGTCCGCTCTAGCACAGCTTATTCCTGATATCATTCGATGTTACAGTAGGTCAGTTGCTATTCTTGTGCTCACTTTTATAGCTTGATGTCACTCTATTTATAATATTTTCATGGTGGTTAATTCTTGTCTGTGTCATGCTTTTGATTCAGTGGGGGCCGTACAATTATTTTCACTGAAACAAAAGATTCTGCTTCTGAGCTTTCTGGAGTGTTGCCTGGAGCACGCGCTTTGCATGGAGACATACAACAGTCTCAACGTGAGGTGAATTTTACTGGTTCCTTTTTCCACTTTGTTTAAGTGGGTTCTTATTAACAGAATAGCAGTCTATATATTTATACACAGTCCAAATCATGGGCATACTTGTGTTCTTTGATGTCGTGGTTTGCTCTCTTGCTTCTGTTTCTTAATTTGTTTTCATCTATTTGCAGGTTACTCTTGCCGGATTTAGGTCTGGCAAATTCACAACTTTGGTTGCTACAAACGTGGCAGCACGGGGACTGGATATTAATGATGTGCAGTTAATCATCCAGGTCTGTACCAGCTTGGCCTTTTTATGGATGCTATACATGTTGTCTTCCATAATTTATTTGCAAATAGGCTTACATTATTCTTTTTTTAGTGTGAACCTCCTCGTGATGTCGAAGCTTATATACATCGATCTGGTCGGACAGGAAGGGCAGGTAAAGTAGATATCGTACTTTTTTCCCCTTTCTATTATCTAGTGTTTGATTAGGTGTTTAAAGGCGTTACTACTGTTTTAGGTAACACTGGAGTTGCTGTAATGCTCTATGATCCTAGAAAGTCAAATATATCAAAGATAGAAAGAGAATCTGGAGTGAAATTTGAGCACATATCTGCTCCTCAGGCAGCTGATATTGCCAAAACTGTTGGGTTAGAGGCTGCAGAGGTAATAAACCAAGTATCTGACAGGTATGCTTGCTAGCAGGATTATTTTATTTTACTTTTGTTCTGTAGATGGTAGATTCTTGATGTTGTTATCTCATTAATTGCAGTGTCATTCCTGCTTTCATTGATGCTGCTAAGGATCTTTTGCAATCTTCTAGTCTATCAGCTGAAGAGCTTCTTGCCAAAGCACTTGCCAAGGCTTCTGTAAGTTTCTCCTTTCTTGATCCCCAGCCCCTTCACACAGGAAGGTTGTCATTTGCAGTTATGTTCAATCATTTACTTATAATTGGAGTTGCATGACACAATGCAGGGTTACACTGAGATAAAGAAAAGATCACTTCTCACTTCTATGGAGAACCATGTTACTTTACTTCTCGAAGCAGGCAGACCCATCTATACACCATCGTAAGTCAATCTCAACATGCTTCCTAGGCTTTTCAATTTCTCCCATGCCTCTCTCTTCTCTTTGACCTCTTAAAATATATTTGGAATAGAAGAAACTTCTTATTTATCTATATGTAAATGATGGTCAATAAGAAGAGAATATGTGTGCACCAGCAAATGAATATTGCCTCACGAAACTGATGTTATTTTCTTATTTTCTTTTTAATTGAATGGCTAACAATCAATTGCAAGTACAGCAGTGAAGCGAATGTCTTCCAAGTTATAAGGATGCATGCAGCTGGCTGTTTCTGTGAATTTTATAAAATAGTTGAATTGGTATTGATTTATCAATTGGGACATGTATTATTAGTTGATTTTCGTGAGAGCAAATATATCATGTTCAGCTGTGAATTCTATTGTGTCAGTGTGTATCTCAAGTTCTCTTCAATTGTTAATAGGTTTGCATATGGTGTGTTGAGGAGGTTCTTGCCAGAGGAAAAAGTTGAGTCGGTACAGGGATTAACTCTCACAGCCGATGGAAAGGGTGCTGTGTTTGATGTTGCGGAGGAAGACCTGGATACGTTTCTTGATGGTACTGTTTTTACTGTTGAATCCTAGGAATATGATCATGATGAAAGAATTCTTAATCTTTTTAAGTGTTGATCCTGTAGATTACTTCTACTCATCTGTAATATTGGCTTTATGTGATGATTAATTTAATAATTTCAGGTCAGCACAATGCTGCTAGCGTGAGCTTAGAGGTGGTGAAAGAATTGCCTCGCTTGCAGGAAAGAGACCAGTCAAGAGGACGATTTGGCAATGGTGGTCGGGGTGGATTTGGCGGTGGCCGTGGTGGTTATGGTGGGAATAATAGGTTTTCAGGTGGCAGAGGTGGATTTTCTGATCAAAGAAACAAGACGTTTTCAAATGGTTCGAGCCGCGGACGAGGTTACAACAATAGATAGATAATAGAATACTGAAGACTGAAGAAGACCTCTAAATAAGTCAACAAACTATATATTGGAGAGAAATGAATGAATGATATTTTGCTTCCTGATTTTTGTAGACTTATATAACATATTTATTTATTTATTTCTTCATTTTGCTTTAGGGTAAATCTACGGGGGTAACTTTACATTTCATTTTTGTTGGGGGAGGGTTTTCTTGTGAAATCTCCCCCGGTTTGTTAAATTTGCTGGAGATGTAAGATGGAAATCAAGTACTCTTGTCATTCTGACGACAGAAAACAATGAATAGTCAAAAGTTTTTAATTGCTAAATTTTCCCTCCAGTTGATTCCATTTTGGATATTATGTTACTGTTATTCCAAAATTTTCACCAAAATTTTATTAAAATTTGCAGGTAGTTTAATCTTTAGTTTTTGACAGTAATAAAAAGTCGTATGAATCTCATGTAAGAACTTTTTCAATTTCAATCTAAATCTAATTTAATAACATTATTTTTAACTTCACGATTTTATATGCAAGTTATTTTTCTATCAACTTATGCAAAATTGCATTTCTGTTAGTTATAAATGGATTCTCAATAATAAACACGCATTTGCTAATTACAAATTGCAATTTGGTTCAACACCGTAGAGCTTCGCTGAATCTTCGCGAGCATTCCAAGTTCGATCGCCGAAAGCCTTTCTCTCTTCCCCGCCACGTGACCTCTCTGATCTCTCAGCTGTTGTATTTCGATTCCTTCCCTCCCTTCATCTATTCTTTCGGTTCTAATTTCCCTTCCGAACAGACACGACCGCCGATCTTTAAAGACCCAATTCCTTTGGATGACTCTTCCTCTTCGAGAATTCCCGAAACATTCTCCCGTAATTAAAGATTTTGGCAAGAATTCATGGGGAGTTACAGAAGAGCAAAGCAAGCAATAGATGCTTTACGCAAGAACTTTACTCCAAACATCATACGGAAATCGACTGTCTGCAACTCTTGTCCGAGAGTCCGTGGAAATGAGTCCGCAATTTCTGCTGCAAACCGAGCTAAGTTTTCTGGGTTTTCTTCCTTTCCCTTTATTTCTTCACAAAGGCTGGGTTTCTATGCTGGTACTAGTAGAAATCTTTATGACCCGTTCCAAAATGGAGCCAAGAGATTCTATTATGTTGATCGGTACCGCGTTCAGCACTTCAAGCCGCGGGGACCGAGACGGTGGTTCCAGAATCCCAGAACTGTAATCACCGTTGTATTGATTGGCTCCGGGATCTTGATCACCATTTACTATGGGAATTTAGAGAGTGTTCCTTACACGAAACGCACTCATTTCGTGCTTTTGTCGAAAGAGATGGAGAGAAAGATTGGGGAGGCGCAGTTTGACCAAATAAAATCGGCTTATAAGGGTAAGATCCTGCCTGCAATGCACCCAGAAAGCGTGAGGATTAGATTGATAGCTAAGGATATAATTGAGGCGTTAAAGAGAGGGCTAAGGCATGAGCAAGGGTGGAGGGATTTGGGTTATGCATCTTCGGAGAGTTCTATGGCACATGATGAGGGTTCATTTGACACATTGTTGGCGTTGAATAGGAGTGGTGAAGGGAAAATTGAAACAAAATGGCGCCCGGAAGATGAGATTCTTAATGATGAGTGGGTTCAGCAGAGTAGGAAGAAGGGTCAGGAGACTGGGTCCAAATCTGCAACCTCTCATTTGGAGGGGTTGAATTGGGAAATTTTAGTGGTTAATGAACCTATTGTTAATGCTTTTTGCTTGCCGGGTGGAAAGATTGTTGTGTTTACAGGGTTGCTAAATCATTTTAGAAGTGATGCTGAGATAGCTACAGTAATTTCTCATGAGGTATCCAAATATATATAGCAGACATGTATATATACATACATATAGTTATCTAGGTGTATATGTTCTTTAGATTGAATATGGGAATGATATGTTGTTGATGTGTGATTTTTCTAACTAGGTTGGTCATGCTGTGGCTCGACATGCAGCTGAAATGATTACCAAGAATTTGTGGTTTGCTATTCTGCAGCTGGTTCTTTATCAATTCTTTATGCCTGATCTTGTCAACACAATGTCAACTCTCCTCTTGAGGCTTCCTTTCTCACGAAGGTATCATTTCTTTTTTATTCCTTCTTTTGAATTCTTGGTTTTTTTCCCCTCATAGTGAGTCTTGTGTTTCTTGCTTCTTTTGTTATGGAATATTTTCGAAACTAAAAGTTGAAATGGTGAATAAACGAAGCATAGCATTTAGGATTGGGAACTTTCAGATGCATATAAAGGCAGGTTTTTAGCAATAGAATCAGATAAATCTGCCCGTTTCATGGTATTATACTCGAACCTTTAACCTCTTGAAAAGAGGTAAGGACTTGACCAAAAGACAAGTGTGTGAATCAGATAACTGCACCTGCTTGTGAACATAGGGTGGCCTATTTTAATTCTTTAATCCTTTTATTAACATTCTGGCGATGATTCTCTATAGGTATTGGCTATCTTCAAACCTCTTAGTTATAATATCTTGTTGCATTATGATAGGTCAAGAATTCTGAGGATTCACTGAATATGGGAACTAGGTTTTTCATATGCTTTTTAGAAGTTGGGTTTAGTATGGTTTGAAATCAAATCTCTGTTGTCTGCAGTCTTGAAGCATACCTTAAGCTGTCTGAAACTCAGCAACTTTGCTCTGATACATGTTGTCTGAGTTGCTGCAATTTTGGTAATTCCTCCAGTTTCATGTACTTGTGAAAATACAAGTTGAGCAGGAAGCCTAATCATCAATTTCGTCAAATATGTGAATTGATATTTGGCTTTATACTCATTCTACTTCTGTACTTTCTTTTTTATCTTGGTTTGGCTAATGATTGATATGGTCTATGGCATAAGTTGCTAGGTCCTCATGCTCACAGGGTAATATTATATGCAAACTTGCTTAGTATATGATTACTTTTTCAAGTGCTAGCTTTTCTACTAATAAGAAAGTATGGTTGCACAAGACAATGATAAGTTGAAGGATGGTTGTCTTTTGACTATAGATGTGTTATTGAGGTAGTGAAGAGAAGTACCTAAAAGAAAAATATGCTCAAGTTATGGCTCCCTACTGGGAAGTTTAGACGAAATTAATTATGAACCTATTTGCAACTATTTTGTGCTTCAGGTTGACTTTGAAAAAGAAGTTCTTGTTTCAAATTTCATTGACTTGGATTAGTTGTTTTGGGCATTTTTAGCTAGTAAAGAATTAGAGTTCAGTAGAAAGAAAAGTATATTGAGACTTTGGAAGAATCCTATTGCCTATGAACAGAAAGTTGAGTCAAGTGGCCTGTTTTGATTGTTGATCCAATTAAACCTCTATGTTCGAATTTCAGTTCTATGGAATAGAAATGCGAATATATTATAAATAAGATGAAGATTGGAATACAAATAGCATTTTAGTTTCAAGTCAATTTTATGTTATATTCAACTTGGATATTCCTGTGATTTCTTTATGAGCAATTGGGAATACAAAGTCATTATTATTTTTGAAATAATACAAAGTCATTATTATAGAATTGAACATGTGAGTTAAATTAATTTAATTATATATGTAATGTTTAAATTATAACTAAATCTGATATGTAAAATAACTTCAGTATGGGAAACAAAAAGAGAATTGATTTTGGACCAACCACAACACTAGAAATATCTTGCATGGCCTAGATAATTTAGGATCGTTGGTCTTCTACAACCAACCGGCATTTAATGTGTTCTTGGTCTCTTCTTTGACTTTCTCTCCCCACTTTTAAGACATGATGTTCTATAAAATTGAGTTTTTAAGATACTTTGGTTATCGAATCAGTTTACATAGTATTACAATCAATATTTTTTTGTTGTGGAGAAAATTCAGGGAGCACCAAAGTATGATTGGTTTGTGTGTGATGTGTACTCTCATCCAAAAGACTTGAACCTAAAGACCACTCGGAATACAAAGAATAAATTTTTTAAAAAGTAAACTTCTAGAGTAGCCATTCATTTAAAACAATGGTCAATCTGGATCATTGATCTTGAAGGGCTAACTTTTGTTACTTTCTTTGATAGGATGGAAATGGAAGCAGATTACGTAGGGCTGCTGTTAATGGCTTCTGCAGGCTACGACCCTCGAGTGGCACCCAAAGTGTATGAAACATTGGGAAAGATTGGAGGTGATTCAGCACTGAAAGATTATCTATCCACTCATCCATCAGGAAAGAAAAGAGCTATGTTGTTAGCCGAGGCTAAAATCATGGAAGAAGCACTCTTGATTTACAGAGAGTCGATATCTGGGCGTGGCATTGAAGGTTTTCTTTAGAGCTGTACAGCTCCATAATCAATCTACTCCAATTTTAGGGCATTCACTTACTAACCCACCATCTTTCTGCCTCTTTTTTGAGAGAATTGTTGTTCATCACTGCAAAAGTTGTACGTTTGTATGCAATTACATATTCTTTATAGAAGTTTTTTCTTTTCACCTTGTTGATAAGGATTATATATATTCCAAAGGATTATACATATTACCCTTTGCCAATTGGGATCCAAAAACCAGTCTACCAAATAAACCGTTTTGATAATTCCATCATCTTCAAATATATTTCAGTCATACTGTGGCTCCCTTCATCTATCGTTTGCATTACTGTCTACTGATTGCTGGTAATGCTTGAAGCCCAGAGGACGACAGTGAGGAATACAATCTCCCATTTAATTAGAGAATGCAAGACCCTGAGAGAGCTCAAGCTGGTCCATGCCCGGATCATAAAATCGCCATATTTGCCCAGAAACGATCAAGAGTTTCTAATTACTCGACTCCTCTTTGTCTGCGCTCTTTCCGATTCTGGTTCTCTGAGCTATGCAACTGATATTTTCCGTTTCATAGGGAACCCAAATATCTCTGCGCATAACATAATGATCAGAGCCTATGCAAATCGACTTAATGATGCCCATCCATGCCAGCCTCTGATACTATACAAAGAAATGCTCTTTAATGGCATTGCACCCGATTGCCTTACTTTTCCTTTCCTTTTAAAGGAATGCACGAAGAAGCTCGATGGTTGCTTAGGTCGTGGGATCCATTGTCAAGCCATCAAGTTTGGATTGTGTAATGACCTTTACGTCCAGAACTCCATGATCACTCTGTACTGCGCATGTGGGTTTTTGGTTGATGCCAGGAATCTGTTCGACGAAATGTCTGACAGGGACGTGGTTTCCTGGAACTCCATGATCATCGGGTGTTTGAGAGGTGGGGATCTTGACTCAGCTAAGAATTTATTCAGAAAGATGAAAAACAGAAATAATATCACATGGAATTCAATGATAACAGGATTTGTTCAAGCCGGCCAAGCCAAGGAAGCATTGGAACTTTTTCACCAAATGCAGATAGTAAACGATGATTTGGTTAAACCAGATCAGATCACCATTGCTAGTGTGCTTTCAGCTTGTTCTTACCTGGGCGCAATTGATCACGGCAAGTGGGTTCACAGCTTCTTGAAAAGAACCAGCATGGTACGCGATACAGTTATCAGAACAGCTCTGGTCGACATGTACGGCAAATGTGGTTTGATCGAGAGAGCTTATGAAGTCTTTAACGAAATGCCAGAGAAGGATACGCCTGCATGGACAGCTATGATATCAGTCTTTGCTCTTCACGGACATGTAAAAGAAGCTTTCAATGTCTTCCAAAAGATGAAAGAAGCAGGAGTGAAACCCAACCAGGTAACATTTGTTGGGCTCTTGTCAGCTTGCGCTCATTCGGGTTTAGTACAGAAAGGTCGCTCATTTTTCGACACAATGCGGTACGAGTACTCAATGCAGCCGCAGGTCCACCACTATGCTTGTATGGTGGATATATTAAGCCGAGCTGGGCTTTTAGGGGAGGCAGTGGAGCTAATCCAAAGCATGCCAATGAAGGCGGATGTGTTCGTGTGGGGAGCATTGCTTGGTGGCTGCCAAATGCATGGGAATGTGGAGATAGGAGAAAAGGTGGCGAGGTATTTGATTGATTTGGAGCCTTCGAATCATGCTTTTTATGTTAACTTGTGTGATTTGTATGGAAAAGCTGGTAGATTTGATGATATGAAGAGAGTCAGAAGGTTGATGAATGAGAGAGGGATTAAGAAGGAAGCTCCTGGTTGTAGCATGATTGAAATTGATGGAGTTGTTCATGAATTTTCGATACGAGGATCCTGTGATGTCCAGATGGAGGAGATTGTAGAGGTTTTGACGGGATTGTACGATGAAATTAGGATTTTTTGTACGAATAATTATCACTTAACTTAAATATATTGATAAGTTAATTTTACTAACATTTTTTTTTATTCAGAAACGAAATATTTCAAATGTTCACAAAAATTTTTATTTTTATCGAACCATTTATATTTAAATGTATTAGAATTTCGATTTATAAATCTCTCAATTTAAGAAAAAAAAATAAAAAGATCATATATTGATTGATTGTTTTCATTATCTTATTGTTAGTAAATATCACTCTTTTTAGTTTTAAGTATTCAAATTATTTCGGTAATTTAAATCTATTTTTTTTATAAAATAATAGATGTTTTGTTATTGTAATGGTACTAACAAGTATTTTGATTAAAATTATTTGATAAATATATAATTAAAATTTAATTTTAAAACAATAACTTGTCTTCTTTAAATAATTTTTAGATTAAATTAGTATTTTAATCACATTTTTTGCAACAATTTCAAACACTTTCTAGTTTGTGGAATTTAACTTTAAATAATTTATTATTTCCAAATTTATTTATTCTTAGATACCAAACAAAAGGGTGTGTTAGCTTCAATGCTCCTTCGGGTGCCAATAAGGATCAAAATGCAAGCCAATAGAAGAAATTAAAGGCAACCCTTTTGATTTCTTAACTAAAATTCTCACATGACGACCACGAACTACTCCTCCCTTTCCGAGTCTATGAAGTCTCTTATATCCTACTGTACTTCCACTCACAACCTTCTTACCATCTACATGAATCTCGTGCCGTTGGATTCTCTGACCAAGTCCGATCGCTTCTTGAATCCTGACCACATTAAATCTCAACCCTTCATCTGGTCCTCTGATCTCAATCCAATTTCCCCCTTTCTCATCGTCTCTCGGAGCCCAATACGTCCATAAATGGTCGCCGTCCACCACATTTTCTGGGCCGAAACCACCGTTCTTTCCCCCTCTCTGACTACTAGCTTTAATCGAACAGGTCTCTGCCAAATTGACAGAAAATATTTTGTCGATGGCTTCTCTAAATTCTCCTAGTCTTCGAACGTCAACTTCAGAAATTAGCCCAGTTGAATTTGGCGGCACGTTGAGCAGTAATAAGCAATTTCTTCCGACTGAGTTGTAGTAAATTTGTAGCAAGTCGCTTAGGGTTTTGGGTGTTTGGGACTTGTGCCAAAACCATCCTGGTCTGATGGAAACATCACATTCTGCTGGTAGCCAATCAGTCCCTTTCGGATCACCGGTGTTCAGATAGCTACATGTCCAAACATCAAATATTAAGTTTCAGAATTGATTTAATGAATTATTATTTGTACTTAATTGTAATAATTTTTCAATGATTGGAAGCAAATTATTAGAAACCTTTCTCAAAAAAAAAATTATTATTATTATTAGGTACTTACTCAACAATGCTTGCATTTCCAATGGAGAGCATGGTCCGATTAATGGTGGACCAGCACGTGCTCCCTGCAAATCCTCTCTCATTCCCGACCCATCTGACATTCGGACCCGCATCCGAGAATATGTTAATGGAGCTCTGCAATTCCTTCACCATGGAAAACCAGTCCTCAAACTCATACGACATGTTTGGCGCGTTTTTTCCCTTTGCCCCATCAAACCATATCTCCCTCACACCACCATACCTATCAAAACAATGTTCAACCCATTAATTTCTTTTCTGCCAAACGAGGAATGTATTTCAGAAACCCTACTTGGTGAGTAGCTCTTGAAGTTGGGCCAGGTAGAATTCGTTGTAGAGCAGATTGTTTCCGTATCTTCGATCATGGCGATCCCAGGGAGATAAATATAATCCAATATCAACACCAGGATGAGCGCGAGCTGCATTGACAAGCTCCAAAACGACATCTCCTTTGCCGTTTTTCCATGGACTGCCAATCACAGAATGGTCTGTGTACTTTGAAGGCCAAAGACAAAAGCCATCATGGTGTTTTGCAGTGAGGATGAGGAGAGAAACCCCTGCATCTGCGGCTGAGTTAACCCATTGAGTCGCGTTGAGTCCAACGGGGTTGAAAACTCTGGGGCTCTCGTGGCCGGTTCCCCACTCGGAGTCAGTGAATGTGTTGACGCCGAAATGGAGGAACATGATGATTTCTCTTTGCTGCCATTGGAGCTGAGAAAATGAAGGTAGTGGAAGGAGAGGCAGAGGTGGTGTTGGGACTTGTTCGCGATCTGAAATTGCTGGTTTACAGAGTTGGAAAAAGGTGATCGTCGCCCACAGTAAGCACCATAGATTAGCCATTAATGGCGGAAGCTTTTTTCAGCGACCGAAGAAGAGAAAGAGTATTGTGATAAGGTAGATGACGAAAAGTGAAAAGGAAAAGATAAGAAGATTCTTTAAGAAAGAGCCAAGACAGAGAAGATAACTGACATGAAAGTTAGCAAGCTTTTGGTCAAGACTTTGTTTGGTTCCTCCATCTTCTTCTTCTACCTTTTTTACACATCCAGTCACGGGTTGCATTGGGTTTTAAATTTCTACTGGATTTTGTTCCCCAAGTATGAATAATTTATAATTAATTAAAAATATCAATTTTTATATTTTAAAAATTAAATAAATTATTATTATTATACCTCGTTAAAAATTATATAGTGCATGATTTATAATTAATTAAAAATTACAAATTTTAAATAAACAATTTTATTTATTTATTTATTTTTTAATTTTTCGGATAAAATTTCGTAAATATTGGTGACTAAACTAATTAAATTATTATTTCAAATAATAATAATTTGTATTTGTTTTTTTTGTTCTGAAAATTTTGTATTTGTTTTCTTGAAAGTTAAAAAAAATATATATATATATATATACTTGTTAATTTCTTATATATAATTTATGGGAGAATTTTGCATGATATGAAAACAAATCGAATACAATATATCATCGTTACTTTTTTTTTTTGGGCCTTGTCGACCTGTGGGGCTAAGGAAAAATACTGCTGGTCGGTGACTCGCCAGAGCCGCTCAGCATTTGTGAGGTAAGAAGCCCATGGGCCTCAGGGTCCACACTGCTCGACTCGTCGCACCCCTTGTGGGCCATGATATATGAACCGAATATTCATTGGTCAAAGTTTGTTGACGGTAAATAAGCGAGGTTCGACAAAATTTAATTCCGTAAAAATAATTATAATTTATCAAACTGCTAATTGTTATAATCAAAATCTCAAGTGATTCAAGTTACTACTGCCTATAGAAATTTGATTATATAAAATAGGAAAAAATATTAAAAATTTATATACCAAAACTTTATTTTATAATTTCAAAAGTTAAAGTGGATAGTGTATTTTTAATATTAAGATTAATTTAATAATAATTAAATAGAAATGGAGGTATAACCTAGAATTTGCCACATAATTATAAAGCACATAGAAAGTTTCTCAAATTGTCAATGTGCATTGAATTGGAAAGTTTAAATGAAAAGGAGCATGTTAGTCGAAGCATTTATTACGGGCTAAAATACTATTAATTTTTATTTAAATTAATTTACATTTTAATTTTTAATTAAATTAATCTCTATATTTTAAAAAAAAAAATTATTTTAATTTATTTTTTTAATTTATTATTACTAATGTTTAATTTGATAATATACACATTTAACTAAATGTTACGTGAGATATCATGTAATATTTAATATGATATTAAAAAATTAAATATAAATTAATGACTTTATCTTTTTATTTTTCAATTCTATTCTCCTTATAAAGGGCCATATTTTTGCATCTCTCTCTAAGTACCACCAAACTTATACATTGAAATTAAAGCTTGAGGTGACTAATTCACTAAGGAACAACGAAAATAGCTTTTACCAACTCATGCATTCTACCCGACAAGCCCTTCATTCATTGTTACTAGTTGTTACCAACTCTCTGTTGTCACCAAATGGAGATCGTTGATCCATCCTTCCCATCTTTGTCGTTCACGTCTTCGAGCCTACGAAGAACTTCATTGTCTCTTATAAACCATAGAAGTAGCATGCAAGTGTCTTCATTATCTCCGGCTATAACATAAATTGTCATATGAACGATGACGGTGACAAAGATATAATGTGGTTATAGAAAAATGAACTATAAAATTTTATAAATTAAAGAATGTATTAGAATTATTAGAATATTCGTACTAAAAAGAACTGAACTAATAAATACGAGATTTTAAGATTTTTATAATATATTACTTTTTATTTTTCTTTTAATTCGTTGAAGATTTAGTATTTAACCCTGACATTATTTTATACAATGGCTTGGCTTGTTAGTTGTATTGAGGGGGTAGTACAGATTCATTATACCACAACGGGTACTAATATCATAAGCCCCTAAAACTGCATACGCCTCTCTTCCGGTGCAATCAATATTTCCTCTAAAAATGTCATAATTCACTCCTGATATTTGTGCTTAAGCATTTAAGAACATTAAATATGATGAGGTACGGTTTGGTTGATTCATTAATACTAATTACAAAAATACAACAAAAAAGTATATATAAATATTAATTTTATTCTTTATTAAATAATTTAATTGGGTTATTAATTATCCTCAAATAATTAACTTTCTGAAAATAATATATATATATAAATAATATTAGTATCATCTAATATTACTCGTATTATAATACTACGTGTTACGTGCAACCTTTAATTTTTAAAAAGTAATTTATCAATCATCATTTAAATGTTTATGCTTTTTTTTAAAAAAAAAATTATAAATTTAAGTCAAGTTTATATTTCTATATTTAATTTAATTTTAATATTATTTATATTATATTTTAATTATTGTGTGTATATGGTATAATTAGTAAATTAATGAATTTGTATATAATTAATCTCATTTATGATTAGGATGATTAAATTTTACTTGTTTTTAATAATTTATTATCTAATAATTGAGCTTGAACTAAATGCTGATGATATATTTTGGGCTGGCCGGTCCTTATCCATTAACATTGTTGAGTGGGTACAATATGTTTATATATAGTCGTATGCATGTGACGATTTTAATGCCTCCTTTTCATATTCATTATATATATATATATAGTAATTATATATCTAAAGCTTACTTTCTCTCGTTGGGTCATCTTTAAATTTTTTTCATACAAAAATTTTGAATATTATTTTCTTAATATTATAAATTTAAAGCAAGGTATTAAACCTATTGTGATAATTGCAATTGATAAAATTCAAAAATAACAAAATATTTATTTCGTTAGAATGGTAATAATTTAGTAAAATAAAGTCTAATTTAATTAATGCAATTCTATTAATACATTACTTAATACTAAGTATAATAAATTAAATATTATGAATCAATTATTATTATATTATAATGTACCAACAAGTAGTAAACTCTATAGTTTTTCAATAAAATTTGAGCTCTTGACATTTAAATTAAACTAAAAACTTAATTACTATATATATATATTAAATATTATTTTTTAATAATAAAAAAATATAAGTCCACATATTTCTACTGTTTCAATTAAGATAATTTAATTATTATAAAATATTTATTTTGTCTGAATTCGCTTAAACTTAATTTAATTTAATTATTATAATTTTATTAATATATTAATAAATTAAATTATTAATAATATTAAATTAAATATTATGCATTGATCAAATGTTTGAAAAATTATTTCGTAAAATAAAAACCAAAACAAATTAAGAATCTTATTAGAACATAAAAATAATAAAATATATATATAAAAAGAAAAAATAAAAAATTTATAGCCAAAATATGAGAAAATCAATTAATACAATATCTGAATTTAAAATAATAATAATAATAATAATAATAATAATAATAATAATAATAATGATGATAAGACATAAATGAATAATGGACCAGTAGGTCAGATATTTTAGTACCCCTACTCAGGGTGGTGTATGGCCAACTGTTATAAGTTAGGTGTACATTAATCTTCCCTTCCCTTTAGTAGTAATGACTTCGTGGCCCGTACACTAAGTTCCTATTCATGCGCTCTTCTCAAGTATATACTATAATGATATATATATATATATATATATTTAGATATTCTTATATCTTATTATAATTTTAAACCAAAATATTATTGATATTTAATTATTATTTTTCAAATATAATTATTGTCTATAGTGATACTTATATTCTCAATCAATGCTTTTTTTTTTGTCATCATTAAATATTATCCATGCAAGTTGTATTGCACTTATAGTAATATTGATCTTTGCATGGTAGTATGTATATATGTATATATATATATGTATATTTATGTTTGATTATAAGAATTTAAGATCTCTTAATTTTTGTAGCATCATAATGTCACCAATAATTTTCCATTGTTATAATACATATATGTATTATAAATATAGCTTAACTTTAGAAAGAAAAAAAAAATTGATTTTGAATCTTGGAAATATACTCGTAGCATAAATATGTGTATTTATATATTAATGGAAGTTTTAGTAATTTCTAAATATATGTTTTATTTCTATCGACAAAATAGAAAATCAAAAGGAAAATATATGTTTTATATATATATATACTGGCGGGGGTCGCTCATGCACGTAGCCTATCCTATCCTGAAAACTTCTATTTAAGCTTTCGTTTACTTCAATTATAAAGCAAAAATGTCTGTGGAACAGTTTCCATCTCCCGGCTCCAGAATGCTATCAACCCACCTCTCTTCGACTCTTTTTGAGTTTCTCAGATTTTCCTTTCTCATATTTGTAATCTCCATTGAAGCTTTTTTCATATTTCTTCACCAATGGAGATCACCCGTTTACCCTTTTCTCTTTCTATCTTTCTCCTTTATCTTCCTCTTTCTTCTCAAGCTCTACCTCTCAAAGCCACCTGCAGTTTATCTCGTAGATTTTTCGTGCTTCAAGCCGCCATCTTTTTGTAGGGTACCCTTCTCTTCCTTCACGGAAAATGCCTCCATGATTGGATTTGACAGTGAAAGCACAGGTTTCATGGCGAAGATTCTCAATGCTTTGGGACAGAGCGAAGAGACTTATCTCCCTCCTGCCTTACATTACATTCCTCCCAGAACCCAACAGCCAGAAGCCATTAAAGAAGTTGAAATGGTTCTGTTTCCTGTCATGGATGATCTTTTATCCAGAACAAAAATCTCTCCACAAGATATTGATATTCTCATCGTGAACTGTAGTGGGTTTTGTCCTTCTCCTTCTCTTTCCTCCATTATCATCAACAAGTATTCCATGAGGGATGATGTTAAAAGCTTTAATCTTTCTGGTATGGGCTGCAGCGCAAGTGTCATAGGCGTTGATTTGGCTCAAAATCTTCTCAGAGTTCATAAAAACTCTTACGCTGTTGTTCTCAGCACTGAAATCTTGTCAACCGGCTGGTATTCTGGTCAGGAGAAAGCTAAATTACTTCTCAACTGTGTCTTTAGAATGGGAAGTGCAGGGATCTTGCTCACCAACAAAAAAGAAGCAAAAAAATCATCAAAGTACAAACTTTTTTACTCTCTCAGAACCCAAAGAGCCTTTGACGACAGAGCTTATCTTTCAGCAATACGTGAAGAAGACTCAAACGGGAAACCCGGGTTTACAATCAGAGGGGATTTACTTACAACAACAGGAGAAGCTCTCAGAACAAACATGTCGATTCTGGGCTCACAGATCTTGCCGTTCACAGAGAAGTTCTGGCATGGAGTTTCGATTATCAGGAAGAAATTTATAAACAAATCTGGTGAAATCTACACCCCGAATTTCAAGACGGTGATACAACATTTTTGCTTGCCGGTTTCAGGGAGGCCGGTGATTAGGCAGATAGGAAAAGGGTTAAAGCTTAATGAAAGAGACATTGAACCTGCGTTAATGGCGTTGCATAGGTTTGGGAACCAGTCGTCTTCTTCGTTGTGGTATGAGTTGGCTTACATGGAAGCAAAGGAGAGAGTGAAGAAAGGTGAGAAGCTATGGCAGATCGGCATGGGAAGTGGGTGTAAGTGTACCAGTCTGGTTTGGGACTGTTTAAGGTCCATTAATGGCGAAGCACAGAGAGGCCCATGGGTTGATTGTATCAACCGGTACCCAATTATGTCTCTCAATCAATCTCTATAGCTTGTTTTTTCTTTGTTTTATTTATATATATATATATATATTTTTTTGTGAGATGCAATAGCTTGAATTAAAATTATTATGTGTTTCGGTAAATAGATGAGTTGTAACGTATTAAAATTAAGATAAATGTGATAGGTATTTTTTAAATTTAATACGAACCAATCACATTTATTTTTATCAGTTCATCTGTATTAATTGAACATGTAATAATTATTTATTAAATTATTAAAAAATTTACGAGGATGTAAATAATATTTGTTTGTTTCTTTTTTGTGTGATTATATGTTTGGTGAAGTTTTAATTAAAATTATATTAAATTTTAAGTGCAAAAATATTGTATTATTTAATTAAATCTAAATGTATTGTTTGATGTGCTTGTAATTAAATCATTGGCATGTGAGAATATAATTAATCATTTAATATGAAATATGAGTAAATGTCATTTGATTATATATTAAATATATAAATTAATTATATAACTAACTAATATACACATTTAATGTAGAAATAAGGTAATATAAGAATTGAAATATTTTTACTAATAAAATTAGTCCCCATTAAGTAAACGTTATAAAAAATAAATAACTTATTAAAAAAATTACTAATTCACTAATTTATAATTATTAAAATTAAGAGATTACTACTTTATAATTAAGACACCACTACTTCATAATTATTAAAATTAAACAACCACTAATTTATAATTAATAATTATTAAATACATAATAAAATATTTAATATATAATATATAAGTATAGTATAGTACATTCCAAATAATTTATATTATTGTAAAACACAAAATATACAATCCATAATTTGAATTTATATTATTGTGAGAAAAGGAAAAGGTAAAAGCACTCACCATTCTAACTTAGTATTTTAATAATAATAAAAAATGCTAATTGCAATTTAAGTTTAATTTTTATTAGAACTTATTATTCCGACTACAAAATTGTTTCTAAATGTGATTTTTTCAAAATTTTTTATTTTTTAAATTTTATTTATATTTTACTCTGGTAAAAAAAATTGAAAAAAATTAGAAAAGTTCTTATAAACATTTTTTTAAAAAAATTTATTGAATAATAATTTATCTTGAATTAAAATACTTTCTCCAATATTTCTTTGTGTTTACTTTATAATATTCTATTCAAATATTATTTATTTTTAAATTTCTATATGACATGTGTAAATTTATAAATAAACAAAAATTTAATAAATAATTGGAACTTTCTTAAATGAAAAATATAATTTCGAATAAGAAATCAACCGGGTCGGGACAGGCCCAAGCCCAGGAAACAAAGGCAGCCCACGACAACCATTCTGTATAATTTTGTCACGTGCTACGGAGGACGGTACGTGCGAAACATCATTCCTTCACCTTAAACCCTTGAAATAAGCAGCTGAAAGAAAAACCCTAGCTTCGTCTCCGCCATCGTTTGCCCTGAACTTTTAGTACTGTGCTCGTTTTCGTAGCGTTCACAAGAGGGAAACAGATAGAGATGGGAAGTGATAGTGAAACAGAAAAGGCGCAGCAGAAGGAGAAGGAGAGGAAGAAGATGTTAGCTCTTGCCCCTATCGCCAAACCCCTTGCTGGCAAGAAGCTCTGCAAACGCACGCTCAAGCTTGTGCGCCGTGGTAATACCTAGATTTACGTAGACTTCTATATTTAGCATTTCTAATGCATGTATATACTTGATCGCTTCCTTGCAGCTAACGAAGTAATTTTTGATTCTATTCGTTTGCTACTGAAATTTGCAAGTGCGTCTATACATATGATATCATAAAGATCTTTCTTGCTGCCGAGAATGCTTTACTGCGATTGGGTTGGAAAGTTCCTGTGTTCGGTTCAATTGGTGAGAAATTACCGGTTAGGAGCAAACAAATTTTAAATAATGGGGTCCAGATACTAAGTTATAGGTTCATTTCCTGGATGAGAGAGACTCAGTGTTTTCTCTCACTATGTAATTCTCGTGTTCCCAAAAATTGGATAAAGATTCTTAAATTTATCATATATGTGACTCATACAAGGTTCTCTGAGGTTCTCAATGAAATTCTTGAGCTTTCTCTTGTTAATGTTCCTATTGTTTTAGTTGGTATTAAGAAATGTTTAAGATGGATATAGTAATCCGTAATTTGACGAATCCATGGATGTAGTTTTCACAATCTTTTGTTTTGAATATGTTGTTTATTTGTAATTATTTATTTTTTTTGTATTTTTGTAGCCGCTGAACATAAATGCTTGAAGAGAGGAGTGAAGGAAGTGGTTAAAAGTATTCGACGTGGTCATAAAGGGTTAGTTTCTTATGCATCTGAAATTTTTTTGAAGAAATTCCTTTGCTTTTATTGTCTTTTATGCTAATTGATTTCTGGTTCCTTCAATTTTTTACTAGTCATCGTTTTCTTCTGCAGTTCTTTATTTGCGGCCAGTGAAATGAACTCAGAAAATTTTTCTCCTTATTGTTTCCACATATTTGTATTGATGCAAATATTTTCTTTGATGTACTGCTAAAAGGCATTCTTTTATGAGTTGTTAAACTATCTTATGCGAGTGGTAGCTTGAATTTGAAAGTTAATTATGTCTCGTTGAGAACGATTTGTGATTTCTTTTGTTGAGTGCAGATTATGTGTTATAGCTGGGAACATATCTCCTATTGATGTTATAACTCATGTTCCTGTCTTATGCGAGGATGCTGATATTCCATACATTTATGTTCCTTCAAAGGAGGTAAATCTGAATTAAGTTTCCTATTTCTAGTTCCATTTTAAGAAGTAGCATTAAGGCCTAGGGTATGTTGGAAAAAAATGATGTTTGTGAAATTTACTCGCAAATCTTATAGTTTCTATACTCAGTTCAAGGATAGAAATGTGAAAAATTCAATTCTAGATAAGTACTAATCAGAAATGAAAATATTTCAAGTTCCATGAATATGGATGGAATTTAGAAATTAATGAGGATGATTTAAAAGAGAAGTTGGTTAACTTGTTTAGTTTCTACCTCCATAAGACCAGTTGGGATAATGTTAAAGATACCTTTACAAAACTGAAGATATTCAATTTGTTTGACACAGAGGCTTAACCTTGTATCGTTTCTAACGTATAGGATATTACTTGATCACATAAAAAGTCATGGGGATAATTGCACAAACGCCAATACTTTACTATGCACTTGATACTGAAAATCCATTGTATTGCCCTTTCTCTCCAATTCAGGATCTTGCAAATGCAGGAGCAACTAAGCGCCCAACCTGCTGTGTTTTGGTATTAACAAAGCCTACAAAGGGTGAACTAGCTGCAGAGGAACAACAAAAATTAGAGACAGATTACAAACAGGTTGTGGAGGATGTAAAGGAGCTTACATCCTCTTTCTTTGCATGATGAACAAGACCATATTCGTTGTATTCTCAACTGATGAACAAGATCACAAATTTGCTTGTTAGCATGTACCTCTTTTTGCTATATAATATGCAGTTTAATTTCTACAACACATGGTTTACCCCATAGGTGTTAGGTTTTAATATTTAAAAGATAGCTAACGTTAGCTAATGTTATATATATGTGCTAAGTTACGAACATGATTAGATGATACAAAAAGGATTCATCTGAGAGACCGATTTCTCTCCCTGCAGAATCATATTAACAAGAATTTTCTCCCAATCATGCAAGGCAACCCAAAAAACTGAATAGTTGACACAGCTACCATTTTTATTGATTGCTATCAGAGTAATGTACAACAGCATGTTATTTGTCAATGTTTACAGCATGGTTACACCATTACCACCAATAATTTGATGGAAGAACATTGAAAAACTGGTTTTGCCGCTATTTAAACCTGGTTACCTTTGTTATATCCTACTCTCTTCCTACATAGGGAGCCTGTCTATCACAACAACGGTAACTAAGGAAAAGGATATGTATAGTCTCTTGGTGCATGCAGAATTATTTCTGGGACGTCAGATTCTTGAAAAGAAAGACTCCTAAACCACCAATAGCCAAAGTTAGAACAAGAGGGAAACCGATGGATTCAACATCAACTATGCTGCTCATTCTCTCTCTTCTTTCATGGCGAATCCTTTCTCCCCAATAATCATGTAGAAGATTGCTCAGATTGTCTAACTGATGCATTATCTGGCGTTGTCCACGTGCAATAATCAAAATCTGTTGACCAAATGCAGAAGAATGTTAATGGGGATATTGCGTGCAATCTCTTTACAAATGAACTATGCAGAATATAAAGCTGTATATTCTATCATGTATATAGAATCATTTGCCAAAAAAGTATTAAAAATTGATCAGGTTGGATGCAGTGCCTCTTCCATCAAAGGGGACTCTCTTGCCAATTGTGAAGAAGACGACGAATTTGTTAAGCCAGGTACAAAGAGAGAAGCAGGTGCAGATCCATTACAGGCTTCAGCCTGCAAAGCTAAGTTTTGTTGGCTAGCTGAAACCTTTCTGGCGGAGATTTTGGTATTCAACTCTTCAATACGAGATGTAAGCTCATCCATCCTCTCAGTCAGTGTAGATATTTGTTCTGAGAGTTGAGTAACAACACCCTAGAACAATCCAAAAGCAGGTATAAGTACTACCTCATTAATAAGTACCGCTTGTTCAATTCTTTTAAAAAAAGATGATTCTGTTCTCATAGTTTTAACTTCATTAATCATAATGAAAGATGATTTTGACCATATAATAGTTTTGGTAGTTTTGACTTCATTATTTTGTATTTGTGTAATAATCTAAGTCCGCCCCTTGCATCTGCTGTATTGGAACTTTTGCAGCATGCAACACCTGCTCTTTTGCTCAATTTTCTTAGACAAATAAGTTTGCAATTAGGATAGGATCCATCTATCAACTATTATGCAGATTCTTGCTATAGCAACTGTCTACTCTGCAAGCATAAGAACTGACCTGGTTTCCGAGTGTTGCTGCTGAATCGGGGTTCCTTCCGTCAAACCTATTATTATTAACAGCAAGTCTTGTCAGCTTGGATAGATGCCTATCTCGCTGAGTTGTATATGATTGTGATATGCCACTGGAAATAGATCGAGATTATTGTTAAACAAAATAATATCCTAATTATGAGAAGAATTTCTAAATATTTCCCACATGATTGATTGTTATTAAGAGCTTGAAACAAGTTTTCTTACCGGCTCAGATACTTCATTCTCCTATCAGCAGAAGCACGGGAAAGGGCTTCTTTGGGACTTGAAACCAAATCATCATCTATACTTAACTTCATTTTCAAATCATCTGGCAAAGCCTGCAGATTGATGAGAACAGATAGCAAGATGCAGAAATCAAGAAAAAGGCTGATCGTCTTGAATGCTCATACCATGACATCATTTACGAGCTTCTCCAGCTGAATTTGCTCTATGTACGTACGAGGAACATATGAACCTTCCAAGCCCAGTTGCTCAGCAACAAATTTAACATACAAACGATCTCGACCTTGCACCTTTAATAAAGATCAGTAAGAATATGGTCAGTTCAAATTTGTGCAGTACGGACTTACTGTTGACAATGTACACATAACAGAGGTACTCCAGTGCACTCCATACAATTTGGTTAATCAATAAATAAATGGAATAATACCTGAACATACTCGCGATTAAGTTGCTCTAACCAATCAGTCTTTACACAAACACGCTCATCAATGAAGACATGACTGCTTCTTTTCAAGATGGTTGCAATTGTGTAACCCAATGCCATCAGTCCTCCAAGAAGACGGACACTAACTTCAAATGTAATTCTAGGTGATATTATGAATGGAGAATCTGTTACCCATTCCTGCAGAAATGAGTACACTATCAAAACTTTTTAGGACTTTGTACTTCTACTACTATTACTCCTATGAGTATTCAGATGACTCTAACAAAGCCTAAAATACGTTACAACTTAGAGCACATAATCATTCATACTTTGACAATGTTTTAATTGCCTTGTAAGGTAACTTCAATTATGGTACTGCGATATGATGCTGTTTATAACATCCAAAGCCTTGACTAGGATCAAGTTTTTCATTCATTTGAAAAATTGCAATGAACTTCCAGCAAATTCAATTAGGATTTTTTTTTTTTTCATTGATGTTTCAAGAAAAGGCCTTAAAACATTATCCTACCTCAAACATGAGATTGTACTTGCCATCCCTATTTCTCATTCTCAGGTATGATTGACAGGCTTCAGGATCTTCACCAGGTGGTAGAAGATATATGTCATAAGTCTCTTCTGTCGTTTCTGTGTGTTTTTCAGAAATAACAGCTTTAATTTGATCCACTGTCACTTGCCTTGTCGACTACAATGTTAGAAAGCACTTAGTGCTAAAGCCAAAGAAAAAGACAAAACACATATTAACATAGATGTAAAAGAGTTATAATCTGAACAAAGAATATAGAAACCTTTAAAATGTAAGTGGGGTTTTGAAATCCACTGAAGGGATTAAACTTGTTGGTGATTTTAATATGTGCAGTTTGAAGATCCGGTTCAATAAAAGCTTTGTACATGGGATAGACCTGCAAAGAAAAAAATTGATCAGAAGAACTATTTATGGTAGTGAGAAGCACTAGTTTCCTTCTCCCTTTTCATCTTCATTCACCATTTTCATAGATTATACATTAATATCGAGTTTGGTTCAAATTCCAATTCTATGCAATAGGAATTGAAATAAAATACAAAACAACAGGAATCTGAATAACAACAATAAGTCTAGTTCTAAGTCAATTGCATATCTAATTCAAATTAGATGTTTCTGATTTATTTTTTAACAAGTGAGGATACAAAAAACTTCCAGTTATGAAATTGAACATAGAAATGATTTTTATTTAATTGTGATTTATGTATCAAATGAGAATATAATTAATTTGAATCAAATACAATATAATTACTAAGATTTATATTTTGATAAAAGCAACTCAATTAGAAAATCAATAAGTCAAACATTTAGCATGGGGAAGGAGAAATAACCGTTTCAGAGATCTGATGGATTATCTCTTCAGGCTCCTGACCGGCACGTTGAATGTCTCGTAGAACACGTTTAACTAGGTCAAAATGAACTCCACCAGTAACAGATACACGAAGATCGAGCAATGGTCGTAATTTTTCACTTAAGGCATAGATACCTTCGATAATCACAATGCGGGAGCTAGGGACCTCAACGGTCCTGAAAGAGAACATTTAACAAAAAAATTGACTTTCTATGTTAACAACTTACAATAAGCCAGAGAACAGATGTATAGTAACAAACAACAAATGCA